GCTACCAGAGCTCCTTATAACAGCCTTTAAAGTGTCTTAAAAAATCTGCCTTGAAATCTAATCTAGTTGTTTGTTTTTATGCATGTACCAATTAAAACTAAATAAATGGTGTGGCATTTTTACTTGCCTTAATTCAAAACCCATTCAATCAAGTCTGTTAATGCTGAAAATGTCACCAATTTAGAAATCAAATTAATCTGGCTCTGGAACCTCCTTGGCTGACTGTTCCTATACAAATTTTAAGTACTTTATGATTTAGCAAAATAGAATCAGCCAAACCTCAAGGCTATATTCAGTAAACCCAACTATTAGGTGCTGAAAGAGTAACAGATACAATTTTAGATACATCTCTTGAAGGTAGGTACATGAGAAAGCTGAAATAAAAGTTTACCTAAAGAGATCATCAGCAAGAGACTCTTCTTTTGCATGCTGATTCTGCACCTGTCAAAATAAAAATAATTTAAACATAGTTTCAATGATTGATGTATGGTTAATCAGTACACTGGGAGTCGTCTCTATGGTTCCCATATCCAGCAGGCTACCAAGTTCTGTGATCTCTTGTCTCTACTACCCCATTGCTTCTACCCAACAGCTTTCCATTTTCACTTCAAGATTATTGTGAAAGAACTCCTACTTAAAGCACCTTCTCAGTCTTCCCCTGTCTAAAGCCAACAACATATATACTGCTAGCTGGTTATTTTTGAATCTTCTTCCCAACAAAATTTAGTTTTCTTGGGCCAGGCCATTGGTGAAAAGGCTGAGAGCGCAACACTGACTCTACTTTAAATAAAGCAACTCACAGATGACTTGGTTCCCTTCCTCCTGACCCCAAACATGGGCTAAGAAGCTGCTGCTGAAGTACAGTTACCTCACCCACAGAGTAATTCCAAATACTAACACACCAAACTCCTAAAAGCACCTCTCCAAAACACACCAAATGAAAGCACATCTCCAAGAGGTTGTTGTTGTTAAGTACCGTGGAGTCGGTTCCGACGTACAGTGATCCTGCACAAGGTTTCCAAAACTGTGAATCTTTACGGGAGCAGAAAGCCTCATCTTTCTCCCACGGAACAGCTGGAAGTTTCGAACTGTTGACCGTGAGATTAGCAGCCCGATTTATAACCACTACGCTATTCTAGGTTCTTTTCTGTGTGGGGTGGAGTACACACCTAGTACAAGATACTTAATTGAAATTCCAGGAGAGAGCCACCAAACACCACGTTTATCAGCATTGAGCTCCAGCTCAGCCCTTCCTTTCTCTTTTCATTAGCTTCAGGCAAACACAACTAAGATGAAACCAGTAAGGTGCCTGTGTTAGAGCCTGCTGCTCTGCAGCAGGTGAGGCCCCAGCATAATTTTATTCATCAGGGTTAGCTGAGAGGTTTAAGAGGAAGTCTGACTACATGAATTTTAGCTTCTGAAATTTGCTCTAAGGAAACCAATAGGAATTAAAATGCAATTCAAGTTAGTTTCTGGGCCTCATTCACTACTAACCTCCATTTCTTGCCGTAGCCACTCTTCTAATTCTGTATTCTTTCGAGTATGATGAGCTATTAGATCTGATCCTCCAATGATGTGTGGAAGTTTTCCTGCCCCAGGAAACGTGATCTGTTAAATAAAAGCAAGAGGTTAAATACAAATTAAGATTATTTTTTAAAAAAAGCATAAAGACTGTAAATCTAGCATATCCTAAATGCCAAAGATGTTTACATCCTACAATGAAAATGAGAGGCAACTGTTATTAGACCCATCTAGTTTTGACCTAATCTTTTCTAAGTATTAATATGACTAGACTTTGATACGGCACTGTGATTTAAGTCAAAAAAATACTGTTACTAGCTTTTGGAGTACTGGTGTGGCACTGTGGGTTAATGTGCTCAACAGCAAGTTTGGTTCAAGTCGCAAGGTCTCCTAAATCTCATCAGCTACTCCTCAGAAACCCTAAACAGGGTTGCAATGAGTCGAAACCCACTCGACAACACTTAACAGCACCACCACCAATGAGGGTTCTAGTGCACAGACATAAGGGTTAATGCCAAACAAAACATGGTCAAACATGTCTCTGTGATCAATTGATGGATGACTGCACACAAGTTCTCTCAGTAATACAGTTGTCTGACGCTCATTGCAGTGCCTTCCAGAAAAGGGTCTAATTAAAACAGTGGCTCCCAAGGGGATCTCCTAGGCCAGTTACATTTAAGGTAGAAGACGATGATGACTGTTTTTTGAGATCCCAAAGAGGTAATCCTGCAAGATTTTGTCAAAGGACAAAAGCTGGTCATGAGAGCATATTATGAACTTTTTTAAAAAATGGAACACTGCAGTAGGCCAGAAGAGTTGTGTGAAGGAACTTTTTCTGCACCGTGACAATGCATCTGCTCATTCTTCAAAGGTACGACGGGTGGGCTGTCCAATGAAAATTTCACTGGGAAATCCTCCAGCCCTATTCTTGCCCTTTCAGACTTCTTTTTGCTCCCCAAACTCAAAGAACTTTCAGAAAGTACATAGTTTTCAAACCCTCAAGGATACAAAAACTGCCATTTTAATATGGGCAAATCTTCAGGGAAGGGTTAGACAGAAACACTGCTTTCAGATGTGTATAGACCTAGATAGAGGATATGTTGAGAAACACTAGCTTCACATTTTGATAGTTTTATTTAATGCGGCTATGATTTTGTAGCAATATGTTTTGACTTACCATATTAGTTACATTTTAAGATTTTTAATCTGGAGTTTTTGTTTAAATAATGGCTTAAGCACATCCAACAATTAAAGCAACTTACGGTAAACACAAACCCTATAATTTAAAGCACTATTTTTGTTCTAATATTTTAAAATTAAAGCTATTTCTAGAATTCATAAACATTTCAATTTTTTGAAAACATTCTAGTTTATAGATCGATAGAAAGAAATATTGAAGGTTGCAACAACTTAAACTTTAAAAAAATTTTAAATTGTTTATAAATAAATGTTGTTGTTGCTGTTGTTGTTAAGTACCATGGAGTCGGTTCCAACTCATAGCGACCCTGCACAAGGTTTTCGAGGCTGTAAATCTTTACGGGAGCAGAACGCCTCATCTTTCTCCCGTGGAACCAGTGGTAGTTTCAAACTACTGACCTTGAGGTTGGCAGTCTGACTCATAACCACTACTCTACCAGAGCTCCTTTTATAAATAAAGAGGTACTACAAAATGTAAATTCTATAGGAAAAATTCATCTCTAGAACACTGTTATGCAGATAATACCCACTTGACCTGGCTTCAATGGCTGGATGATCAGAACTCAATTAGAAGAAGAAAAAAGAGGGGAAAAAAGAGTAATCTGATACAATTTGATGAACTTGACCTACATCTATGGATGCAATAGTTCAAAACAGGAAACAAATCCTTATAGCGAGGTTTTTCCCACCTCCTCGATACGAAGTCACTGGCTTACAAGCTTTCAAGAGGGAGCCTAGATTCAGAGGGTGTGGAGGAAGGTAGAATCTCCACTGAGTAGCATTCTATCTGAACGGGACTGATGAAAGGAGATGGGGATAGCACTCATGTGGCATAACAGTGAATAATTGCTATCAGGACTGACTGTGAGGGTTGGAAATGTAAAGGTAGACGTTTTGTAGCAAAAGGAGGGGCGTGGTTGACTTTACAGTCCAGCAGTGGAGATCCCTGGGACCATCAAGTTAGAAGAGCGGAGTGCGGGACCCTACCCAGAGAGACAGTGACGCCAGATATGGAGGCAGAGATGATGGTATGGAGAGATGGAGCGGCTGGGGACTTTAGACCCAAAGAGGGAGAAGGGCTGTGTGCTGATGAATGGGGGGCATGCTTGCAAGGTGTACCTTTTGGTTGGTTGATGATGCATAGAGAGGACTGTAACCATGGCAATGAAATGATATACAATATGATCAATGTAAAGCTAATGTTCTCCCATGTAAACTATGACATAATTCACAATAAAACTTTTAAAGAAAAAAGAAGAGTGTGTATGGAAAGATAAAGTCCTCACTTAATAATTTTCATCTTGTCTAGATGGGTCTGGTAAAAAGAGATGGGGATAAGATTCTTATAATTCAATA